CTGAAAGGGACCCACCAAGCACCAGGGCAGCACAGGGGACAGGAACCCAGCCCCACATCACTGCCCAGCCCATGTGAGCTTCAATGGGGGAGGGAAGGGGAGGCAATAATGTAGTGGGGAGGGAGTCAGGGGAATTTAGCCTGGCCACTCCCCAAAAATCTCCCTTCACCAAAACGAAATCTGCGTGTGTGAAGTGAGGGACAAGGAGATACTGTTAATGTTCATACAGACAAGCTAGTGGTAGGAATGGAATCCAGGGAAATGTATCCCCCCAACCCAAGAAAGTGCTCTGCACCCCATGTATGTGTTTGGAGGGCTGAGGGGGTGCACCCATTTACCTGTGGGGGAGGGAGTAAATGGGTTAGTAGTTTTGGGGAGTGGGTCCTACAGGGATGTGGGAAGGAATTTACTTTTAGTGGGGGAAGCAGGGCAACATAGCTCTCTTTACTCCCCAAACCATCTCTTTCCTCTCTCTAAATGTCTGTCAACAGGGGAAGGACAAGCATTTATTAGGAGGGGAAAGTCATGAAAATTGTGCCCCAGACTCCAAAATTATTTGTTTCCAAGGTCTAAATATGTGCAGTGGGGACAGGGAGAGTCCATAACAGGGGAACAAAAAGCGGTGGTAGTAATTGATTAGTGGGAGTTGGTCATGGAATTTAATCCCAGCCCTGCCAAAACAGCCAGCTCAGAGGGCCACATTTTGAAAAGTTTTTGCTAATTTTAGGTTTCCAGTTTGAGACACCTTGATCCTGATTCTTCAGAGATGTTGAGCACATGCAGCTTCTGTTGATCTCAACTCAACAGCACCTCTGGAGATCAGGTACTAGGTGTCTTAGGTTGAGCATCCACACACCAAGGCAGCCGAAAGGGGTGGGCACTTAAGTTCAATCATTTCACAGATGCAGGGAATGTACTTTCCCTCCTCTTACTCGTCTCTCTATTTTTCTGTGGTTTGTATTCTCATTTGCTAAGTTACCTGCTATTTATTAATAACACTGCACTTCTCAAGCACTATTCACTGAGCACATCAAAACATTCTCATAGAAGCTAGAAATGGAAATGACCTATTAGAGGTCACCTAGTCGCACTTTCCAGACATTTGTAAACATGTACAGCATTTACCTGGGACTACAGCAGCTTCCAGACCTGCGTGTGGCTTCCTGCCTTCCTCTTCAAGCCCAAACGTTTTGTTCCCAACTCTGAAGTTTAATAGTTTCCTGGCCTCAGAGAATGTCCTTTTCTCCTTCCATGACCTCACTAGTTTTCACTGGTTTGCATGATCAATTGCAGTATTATGTTCCATATCATTTATATTAGGAAGCCTTCATTAGTAATAATAATACTTTGCTTTGCTAAAGCAACATTTATTTGAGCATCTCAAAGATGAGTTACAGATGTTTATTATTGGTTAGTATAGCAGCATCCTAGACTTTCATGTGGCTTTCCTTCCATGTTGCCTGATTCTGATCTCTCACTTGTTACATCTGCATAATTCCACTGGGCCAGATCTTCAGCTGGTTTAAAATCATCATAGCTCCATTGAAATCAATGGGCTAGCAGAGTGTCTGGTCCAGTGAATTCAATGATGTTACTCCTGATGTACAACAGTGTATGTTGGATCTGAATCAGGTCTGTAAGCTATCTGTTTTGTGGCACTCAGTGGCCCCTATTTTGACCCTCTCGTTCCTCTATATTTTTTTTCTGATGTGCATTGTCATTTGTTAAATATATTAAGAGATGATATTTTTCTTAGTTTGCTGCTTCAAGCATGTTGTGTGTCTCCTGTCTATTCCCTTCTATGAATTTCAGTTATAAATCATCGGGATTTATTGGTTTTGCTCCTGGGAAGGAAAGGTTTTCTTCCGTTGTTGCTGAGGTGACTAAAACTCAAACCCTCCCTCCTCAGAGGTTTAGAACTTTAAATAAAAACCAGACTCTCTCATGGGGAAATTGGCCAGCGTAGGTGTAGTGGAACAATTATACTGCTATAGCTATGCCAGTATAACTCCCTGTCTGGACACTCTATTCTGAAATAAAAGTGACGTTATTCTGATATGACTCCACTTTTTAAGGAATAAAGTCATTTCCCTGTGTAGACAAACCCTCCATTGTGATGCATTGTTAAATAGCTACTACTCTTCACTCCCTAGAGATGGCTCCACTTCATTGATGGGTAGATCCGTGTATACATATGTGTGTGTGTGTGTGTATGTTTGGTGTGCAGCTTGCACAAAGGGCTATTCACTTTGTACTGTGGTTTAGGATCCATGTGGATAATAGGCATTGTATCAGTGCAGGATCATTACAATGAAAATACAGCTACAGCACCTCTCTTCTCCTCTTTGATCCTGACTCAGAAAAACACCTCAGTAGGTGCTTATATTTATCCCTGTTCAGGAAAGCACTTAAGCACATGCTTAATATGAAGCAAGTGCTTAAGTCCCATTGACTTCAATAGGATTTAAGCGCATGCTTTGGGCTAAGTACCATTCCTGAACAGGGACCCTTTCCTGAATCTTGGCCTTTACTACTTAGGCCTGGTCTACTCCTACAAATGAGATTGACTTAGCCACGTTGTTCAGGCCTGTGAAAAATGGTGCACGCTGAGCAGCATGGTTAGGTTGACCTATCCCCTGGTGTAGACGCAGCTAGGCCTAAAGAAGGCTTCGTCCATCAACCGAGCTACCACCTTCAGTCCCTGTAGGAAGCGTCTATACTACGGTGCTACAGTGGCATAGCTGCAGCACTGTAGCTGTGCCGCTGCAGCAGTTGTAGTGAAGACGTACCCTTAGATTATAAGTCCCTTGGGACAGTGACTGTCCGTTTGTTTCGTGTTCGTACAGTACCTCCCACAAGGGGCTGTTACAGGGCTCCTAGGAGTTACCCAATACAAATACATCAAAAAATAAACATATTGATGTTGTTTGCACAATATGAATATTGGAACAGGTTTAATATGTGAAGGGTTTTTATTTAACTGTAAGGAACAAATTTTGGAGCACACATTTTCTATCTTGAACTCCTACGAATACTGTAGCTTTGTCGACAGTATTGTCCATCCTCTTACTGCAGACCGTTTATCCAACTACAGGAGCTGTTCCTATCTCTCTAGGGCAGCCAAAAGTCCCTTTTATTTAAACCAGCAATCAACTCTTGTAACCATAAGAGAATTCCCCATCAGCACAACAGACACCTCAGTGTGTTTGTGAATGGATTATGGGTATTATATACAAGTAAATATTTACCTTTTGAATGCCATGAGTATTATATTACTGATACACAATTAGTTAATGACCTCAAAGTGAAAAGAACAATAGCAAACACAGTACAGTATGCAGTTACTTGAAACAAAATTCCCCCTCTTCCTCCCCCTCCCCCCCCGAAAACCCTCCTGTGGGGTTATTCACTCCAGGGTGACAGTGGGGGAAAGTTTATTCAAATGACTTTTGAAGTGTAACAATGGTTAAAAGTGAAAAGGCTGACCTTCAGGTAATTGTTCTTTTTCCTCTTTTCAAATACAGTATATTTATTCTATGTTGGTGACTTTGACATCAAATTTTCTCTCCTTGCAAGTCAAAAAAAGATGTTTGCTTGCCTTGCTCCACCTTAGCAACACTGCATTTAGGTTCTGAAAGTTGAGCTTGTGTACTTTCTGCTTGGTCTATTGTTGCTCACTATTGCAGATGTTGGAACTAGGAGTTATGTGCAGTTTCTGTCCTGCACACCCTGGATAGATATGAGAAAGAGACTGCTCCTACTGAAAACCATGGAAATTGTGGGTTTGTCCCTGAGGCCCCAATTGTGCAAACACTTACTTTAAATTAAGCATGCACATATCTGAGTAACCCTGTTGATTTTAATGGGGTTACTCAGATAAGTAAAATAAAACACATGGTTTCCTTGGCTCCCCAATCTGTATCTGTATCCTCCAGTTGTCTCCTCTCTTATAATTAAATTGTAAGTTCTTTGGGGAAGGGACTATCTTTTTGTTCTGTGTTTTATACAGCTCCCAGCACAACGGGTCCTGGTCCCATGACTGCAGCTCCTAGATACTAGGGCAATACAGTAATAATAATATGTAAGGGTTTGCAGAATCAGGATCTATTGATAATAAATGAGGCAGAATAAAATACAGCTATTGCTTCTGCACCTCTGTTAACTCTGCATTGTGGACGGTAGTAAAGGTTTGGGAGTGTGTAATGCCGTCAGTTTGTAAACTGGACTTCCTATTCTACTCAGTAGGGAGTTCTGCTTAAAAGTCATGGCACAATATAGCCCTTGGTTCAAGTCAATAAGTGACACTGAGCAATAACTAAGTGCTTGTCTACAAACGCTGCGCTGCTGTAGCACTTCAGTGTAAACACTACCTCCACCCAGGGCCGTAGCAACAAAGAACGTGGCCCCCTCCGAACATATGTCCGGGCGGGGCCCCTTACAATGCAGAAACTGGAATGCGGTATTTATTTTGCCACTTTTAGGGGCCCCCTTCCTTGCAGGGCCCCCTCCGGTCGGAGGGTACGGAGGGCGCTCGCTACGCCTCTGCCTCCGCCAGTGGAAGCAGTTTTCCTATCAATGTAGGTAATCCACTTCCCCAAGAGGTGATAGCTAGGCTGATGGAAGAATTCTTCTACTGACCTAGCGCTATCTACACTGGCGGTTAAGTTGGCTTAACTACATCACTGAGGGTTGTGGATTTTTCACACCCCTGAGTGGCGTAGCTGGGTCAAACTAACTTTTTACTGTAGATCAGGCCTAGGAAAGTTTAATCCTCCTGTATCCAAATATATGGGGCACTGTGAGATAGGGCTTTGCTTTCGAGAGTTTTAGGCCTGTCTTTTTGATACTCAAATATTATACACGGTGTTTTTATTATGAGTTGCATGTGTTTATTGAAGAGGTGTTGTTATGACTCAGTGGGACCTTGCTAAATGAGATAATTCTCTGTCTTTTTGTGTTTGTTTTATGCAGGAAGTAAAAGCGAATAGCAGTTTTCCATCATGGAGCTTGTAGGCTCTACTTTAACGGCAACTTACGCCCACCCAAGACCAACACCTACTAACTTCCTACCAGCTATCAGCACCATGGCATCGAGCTATAAGAACCGGTTCCCTCACTACTCTTTGACCCATAGCTTGAGCCTTCCATGGCGACCCAGCACTTATTATAAAGTAGCAGCCATCACTCCTACTTTGGCTCCCTTCTCCAAAAGTTCCCAAGGGTTAACCCAAAGCAAGATGCTTCCCTTTGTTTCCAATAGAACAGCACTTTTCACCAGGTATACCCCGGATGACTGGTACAGATCCAACCTGACCAATTACAAAGAGTCAGAGACATCCCGGCACAGCGCAGAGAGGCTAAGAGTGGACACATCCCGCATGATCCAGGACAAAGATCAGCAAACAAGGAAAACCCAAACAGACACTACCAAAAATTTGGGAGAACGGGTCAACGATATAGTATTTTGGAAATCAGAACTCAACCACGAGATAGATGAGATGATTGGGGAGACCAATGCTCTCACAGACATGAAGAAACGATTGGAAAGGGCCTTGGCTGAAACAGAAGGTCCTCTCCAGGTATCAGTTTCATGGATAAATGCTGTGATGTGTTATAGCCTATCAGTTCTCCATCTGCAGCCATTCAAATATCTAATTAAGTTTCATTTGAGCTCGTTATGTCTGAATGTCTTTTATTAAGAGGCCCTTAGCCAAGCTGGAGATAAACAAAGCCCTTGCCATCTGATACATCTCCTATCCAATGCCGGTTGAGCAGTTAGGAACAGTATTTACTTAACTAAATATTTTCTCATGTGCTACATGAAAAATCCTAATTAAGGTCACAATTTACAATGTCTTATTGCAAGGCTCAGATCAAGCCAAATTCATGCCTGGAGTCATTTCTCTGAGTTCAACTGGTGCTACACCAGGGATGTATGTGCTCCTTTATGTTTTGATCACTTGGATATTTTAGCTTGGTTGTTTATTATCCGTAACACACCAGCATATAGCAAATAGGTACTTTTGTATTGACATGGCTTGCATGTCTTAAAAGATGACCCTTCTCCACATATGACATTTTCTCAACCCAAGGGAAGATATGTGTTCCAAAGGAAAAATTCCCATTCTAAGTGCAAAGATTACTGCCATTACTGAATATTGCAGTGTGATAAACATCTAGCTTTGAACAGCACTAACGTTAAGCAATTGGAACTTTTCCAGAGTTCTCTGGTGTAATTTTATTGATTGCCTTATAGTCGACAGCTATATTTATTTACCAAACAGGTAGCCCAAGAGTGCTTACTTCATCGAGAGAAGAGGATGGGAATCGACCTAGTCCATGATGATGTGGAAAAACAGCTGTTGACAGTAAGTTTTTCGTAACAGCCTAACTAAGGAATGGGGCACTTAACTGCAAAGACAGCTCCGTGCTGACCAACAGTACCCGGTGTTGTAGCTTTAACACATGACCTAAGTCCTCATCATTTCTCCTTATACACCTCTACCTCGATATAACGCTGTCTTCGGGAGCCAAAAAATCTTACCGCGTTATAGGTGAAACCGCGTTATATCGAACTTGCTTTGATCCACCGGAGCGCTGCTTTACCGCGTTATATCCGAATTCGTGTTATATTGGGTCGTGTTTTATCGGGATAGACGTGTACTTACTAAGGTCCAGATCTTGTCCCCAAGATCCACTCATGGAGGGGACCCTCTCCATGCAGTCATCAGCCTTCCCATATGAAGTAATGGGGTTCAGCTGCCTCTGCAACACCATCCACCCTTTCCTCCAACTCTACGGAGGAGATCCACTTAGGGGCTGGGCCAGAGAGAAGGGGCAGGGCTGGGAAACACATCAGCTCTGTGCAGAGCTGATGTAAGGAACGAGGATTCAGCCTAAGGCCCATTCCTTGATGATGATCCTTCTTTAAGGGGCCTCGTGGGGCCAGCCACTTCCAGAGGGAATTTCTGGTAATGTGGCTGTACTAGCAAGGCAAGGGGCAACTGGTGGCGCAGTGCCAGCTCAGAGGAATGGAGCCTCTATGAGGATAGTCTGACCTCCTGTGGAGTGCTGGGGATCTTCCAGGTTTTGGGGCAGGCATCAAGGCGCATTCCAGCATGAATGACAATAGGACAGCTCCTTTCCTGAAGGTTTTATCATGGGAGAGGCTGATCCAGCAGCAATAACTATCTATTAAGCAAAGCATAAAACATACTAACTAAGGACCTGGCCAAAAGGCCACTGAAATCAATAAACTCTCATTGACTGCAACTGCAGTAGGCTTTAGATCAGGCTTGCTCTATCCTATCTCGCCTTTTACACACCCCTCTGTCCGTCCATCCATCCTGTTGTGCAGTTTCTGAGCACCTTCAGCGCTAACTCTGAGTCACCAGAACATTTTACCAACCATTTTAATACAGATATCTGATGAGGTTGGATGACAAGGCTTCTTTATGTTGGCCCCCACCCACTAATAATATTACTTGTTTTTAGTTAACATACCAAATCAGTTATACAAGACATTTTCCTTCAGACAACAGAACAGAGACTAAATACATCTAACTACCAGTGGGATAAGGAGGGTAGTAGCTACTCCACTAAGAACTGCTGTACTTAAGGTTGCAGATTAGTTCTGTGACGGGTTCGGTCACAGAGAACCCCTTGGGACTGTCACCTGATGTGCTGAGATTACCTCTGAGCCCGTTTTCCCTGCCAGCTTGGGACTCAAGAACCCTACCTTATTAAGCCAGACATGCTAGCCTGCTGCAACACAGACCCAGGTCTGGGCCACGCCCCCAAAGCTGCAGACTTTAACCAAAAACTGCTTAGCAGGTCACCTATCTCCAGCACCCAGACACCCAGTTTCCAATGGGATCCAAACCCCAAATAAATCCATTTTACTCTCTATAAAGCTTATACAGGGTAAACTCATAAATTGTCCACCCTCTATAACACTGATAGAGAGAGAGGCACAGCTGTTTGCTCCCCCAGGTATTAATCACTTACTCAGGGTTTATCAATAAACAAAAGTGATTTTATTAAGTATAAAAAATAGGATTTAAGTGGTTCCAAGTAATAACAGATAGAACAAAGTAAGTTACCAAGCAAAATAAAACAAAACATGTACGTCTAAGCCTAATACATTAAGAAACTGATTACAGATAATATCTCACCCTCAGAGATATTCCAATAAGCTTCTTTCACAGACTAGACTCCTTCCTAGTCTGGGCCCAATCCTTTCCCCTGGTACAGTCCTTGTTAGTTCCAGCAGGCATTTTAGGTGAAAAGCAGGGGCTTTCTCATGACTGGGACCCCCCTTGTCCTGCTCTACCCCCTTTTTATAGCTTCGGCACAAGGTGGGAATCCTTTGTCTCTCTGGGTCCCCACTCCTTCTAAATGGAAAAGCACCAGGTTTAAGATGGATTCCAGTATCACGTAACATGGTCACATGTCACTGTAAGACCTCATTTTTCATTACATACACAGGCAGGCTTGCAGGTAAACAGAGCCATTTACAGTCAGTTGTCCTAGTCAATGGGAGCCATCAAGATTCTAAACCATCATTAATGGCCCAAGGATTTACAATAGGACCTCAGAGTTATACTTCATATTCCTAATTTCAGATACAAGAATGATACCTTTATACAAATAGGATGAACACACTCAGTAGATTATAAGCTTTGTAATGATACCTTACAAGAGACCTTTTGCATAAAGCATATTCCAGTTACATCATATTTACACTCATAAGCATATTTCCATAAAAAAAATTATGGAGTGCAACATCACAAGTTCCTGTTGTAACCCACTTACTCCAGTACTCGAAGATTTTCATCTTTAGGGTTGAAATCTTCCAGGGCTGGTCTCTACCTGCAAGCGGAACTTCTTTAGAAAGCTTGTGCATTTGTCCCCCACTGTCCATTACATAAAGAAGCTCACAAGAGGCCAGGACCCAGCATGAAGAGAAGGTCTGTCTGACACAGGAAAAGTGGGTAATTGGCTTCTGGAGAGACATATGAGGTAGCTGCACCATGGCATACTTGTAGGAGGTCCAATGTAGTGTAGTTATAGCCATGTCAGTCCTAAGATATTAGAGAGAGACAAGGTGGGTGAGGTAGTATCTTTTATTGGACCAACTTCTGTTGTCTCTCTCACCAACAGAAGTTATATAAGATATTACCTCAGCCTTGTCTCTCTATAGAGAAGTCCTGTTATCGGCTGGATTTTCAGAAAGAGCTTAGAGTTGGCCAAACTTTATTCCCATTGAAGTCAATTGGAGGTTTGCTATTGTCTTCATTTAGGCCAGTGCTGAATTCTGTGGAAAATTCCAACCTAAGGGTGAACTCTTGTCCCCATTGAAATCAGTGGGAGTTTTGCTGTTGGCTTCATTTAGGCCAGTGCTGAATTCTGTGGAAAATTCCAACCTAAGGGTGAACTCTTGTCCCCATTGAAATCAGTGGGAGTTTTGCTGTTGGCTTCAATGGGGACAAGATTTCACCCTAAAGTTCCAATTCAACTGCCATGATTAACATAAGTGGAAAAACTCCCATTGACATCAGTGTAATCTGGACCAGCCTAGTGACTGAGAGTCCATTTTCATAGTGTTTCCAGCTCCTGCCAATCCACACAGAGCACAAACCCCAGGTATGTTTTTGTAGACCATGCAATATTGGCCAAACCACTTGGTCGCTTGTTCCTCGGTGAATGTCACCTTATATAGGCAAATAGCACACAGCCATACTGTTTCTGGGGAACGCTTTCATCATAAGGAAACAACACATTCCTAACAGAGAAAGTCACACTGAAAATTTAACCACTGAATAGCTGTGTCCCCTTATTATAGTGCATCAGAATTGGGAAGTAGCTCTTTAAATAGTTTGTGAGTCCTCTAGCGGTGCTCTCTGTGTTTCGTGTTTCAGTAGCCATCAGCACCCTGCCAGAGCAGCAGTGTATGTGTACAGCTAGGCTTTGTATGTTGATGGATGTTTATTAAACATGGTTGTGTGCACCCCACTGTGCCTGTGTGGTTCCTTTATATTATATTTGTGGTGTAAAAATCAAACAACACTATGATTGCAATGAAGGTAGAATCCTAATCCAAAAGTTCAGTGAAATAGGGAGTGATTGCAGAGGCCTCATGACTGAAACTGCAGCCCCAGGTACTGCGAGTGAACTGCTCATTGAGAGAATTTTTTTCCTCATGAGTCAGGTCCCCAAAAGTCATGAGCTTGTATTAAAAAAAAAAAAAAAAAAAAAAAAAATCGAGGTTCAGTTCTTTTTATTATCTTCTGAGTTTTGAGGATTGCGGAGCAGTTGGCTCATGTTTTCCAGCTTTCCTCCACTACCATGAGGGGTCAGAACTTGAAAAACTATAAAATTTTAGATTCAAACCTAATCACCTGCCTCTAGGAGCTGGGGCTTTCAGAAACATAGCAAATATTGCGAACCTCCTGCAAAATCACAAGAGTTGGCAACACAGGCCCTTCTTCTCCTTTCATTGAGTTAAAGGCAATAGCATAAGTTAGAAAGAATTTGTATTGCAGTAGCACCTAGGAGCCCTAGTACAGTACCCCATTGTGCTAGGTGCTGTACAAACACTGAACAACAAGATGGTCCCTGCCCCAAGGGGCTTACAATCGAAGTATAAGCCAAGTGAGACAGATTGGGGAGTTCAATGAAACAAGGAGATTTCTATCAATCAAAGTTAAAAGAATCCAGCCGTGTTCTATGGATCCAGAATAAAAGGGTTACTCCTGACAGAATTCTGCGCTCCCAGTTCATATGGCCCGCATATTACTGTTCTGAACAGCCTCAGAGACGCAAATCACTGCCGGGGGAGAGGGGCTGGGGGTACGTGCCTGCGGGGGAGACGTTGATCACCATCAGGGGGCGGGGCTGGCCAACAAGCGAGAGCGACTCTTTCCTCTCACTTGCTACTGAGGCTCGTGGAGGTGGGGTAGGTCTTTTTTTATGCACAAAGAAGGCTCTGTCCCCAAGGCAGAAATGTAGCACTCTTCCTACTAGTTAATTGATCTCATTCTCTGAGGCAGAAATGTAGCAGCCTGCCTGCCTAGTAACATGTCTATAACTTCTTGAGAATTGAAAAAAAAACTTAATTAAATATTAGCACCATGTTACTGAAAGTTTTGTTTTTAAATTAAAGAAAATAGCTTTTGCAAAAAAACAATAACACATTTTGTTAATGTTGCTGTTGATGGTTAACTGATCTCATTCCCTGAGGCAGAAATATAGCAGCCTGCCTGCATAATCACATTGTTAATGTTCCTATGGTTAGTTAACTGTTCCCATTCTCTGTCAATTCCATCAGGAGCATAAAACCTGTAAAAGTTTTAAGGCCCCTACATTGCCAGAGTGATGTAAAGCCTTATAAATGACAGTACGGAAATCAGCTAGGAAGATCTATGTGCTCTCACTTTTTTCCTGTGCCAAAGTGGCACAATGGGGTTCGATTACAGCTCAGGATTTATTTTACTTGCCCATTTTAAAAAAAAGACGTTCAGGGCAAATAAAACATTTTCTAAGCAGTCAATAAACTGTCAGGACAATCAGAACCAAGCACTTCCCAAAGTATCTAGCCCGGTCCAGGACAATGATTAGCAGAACAGTGTGACTTTCATGTGTGAACATCTGAGCAATTTAAAATGACATTCTACTTTTTTTTTTCTGCTTGGTGTTCTGTAATGTAATTTAAATGAAAATCCAGGATTATAACTGGAATGCAGAGTATTAGTTACCAAGTGTTTGTAACTTAACTTTCATCTGTTTAGGAAATGCTGAATAGTTATTGTGACTTTTTTCTGTGTTGTAGTTTAAATAACTTACCAAAACAATTGAAACTGGTGTGACTATATTGCATTATTTTGAGAAATAAAATTTACAGAATTTTTAATATTTTGGTGCGGAATCCCCCCAGGAGTAATATGTGATTTATCTCTGGACAATAGGCAGGGGTGAAAATAACTTAAAGGACTTACTGGTACGCCGGAGTTCTGAGCAGGGGGCGTGGCCTCAACTGGAAGAGGCATGGCTTTGACCGGAAGAGGCAGGGCCTTTAAATACCTGGGCCCTTTAAATCACCCCCGAAGCTACCACCTGCAGAGGCGTCTGGGAGCCCTGGGGCTCAGGGGTAATTTAAAGGGCCCGGGGCTCCGGCCGCCGCTACCGCAGCAGAGCCCCTGGCCCTTTAAATCACCGCCGGAGCCCTGCCGCCACTACCCCAGGGCTCCGGCGGTGATTTAAAGGGCATGGGGCTCTGCTGCGGTAGCCGGGCTTGGATGGCGATTTAAAGGGCCCGGGGCTCCGGCCGCTGCGGGGAGTCCTGGGACCTTTAAATCACCACCGGAGCCCTGCCGCCGCTACCCCAGGGCTCCGGCAGCGGAGCTCGGGCGGCGCTTTAAAGGGCCCGGGGCTCCCCACAGCGGCTGGGGCCCCAGGCCCTTTAAATCACCACCAGAGCCCTGCCGCCGCTATCCCAGGGCTCCGGCAGCGGGGCTCGGGAGGCGATTTAAAGGGCCCATGGCTCCGGCCACTGCAGGGAGCCCTGGGCCCTTTAAATTGCCAGCCTGGGGAAGCCGGTCCGGTCCGGCACGGTGTACTGGCTCTTGCCAGTACGCTGTAACGGCTTACTTTCACCTCTGACAATAGGAGGAGAAGGCATTCTGGGAGCTAATAAGCCAGATTCTCAGCTGGTGTATGTGGAGGTAGCTCAATTGCTTGACATGGGAGCAAACTAGATTTACACCAGCTAAGAATCTGTCTCTATACTTGGGACTCCACATTGATGTCCGCATGGGAAAAATGTTTTGCAATACAGTTTTCAGGCAGTGAAAGCTAATGCTAATGCCATAACTCTTGTACTACTGGCTGTGTGACTTCAAAGAAAATATCTTCCTGATTTCTGACTATGAATAGCTATGTATCATTGTGGCATGTTCAGCTGGAAACATGGGAGCATGCTTCTTCTGTCATCGTAGAATTAGCTATCCCTGCCATACGTCAGGGAGGTACATAATAAATGCCAGGCACCCAAGTACAATGATGAAAATTAGATCAGTTGCCAAAGATAGCAAGTAGGGTACAGTGGTTGGAAATCCATGGGACTAATGTGAAATTCGAACCTCAGTGTGTAGAGGGTAATCAGGTGAACGGTCAGCCTGAGTAAACTCATGTAGATTAAAAGGGGAAGCATTGGGAGACATTCTGTCTAGGCCTTGCCTTCATCAGGGTATGCTCAGGACTAGCTGGCAGGATGCTGAACGTAACTTGTCAACACTGACCACAAAGCCGTGCTCAGCATCATGTTAGCTAGTTTGACTCCTCACAGTCATGTTTTAACACAACTGTAACAAAGACAAGCTCACCGGGAGACTGATGCTGGTCAGAGCTCCTCAGTTATGCTGGTGGGGGTAACTGCAACACCCCATGAGGAGTGCAACATATTGGCCTGTATACAGAGGGGGATGGAGCCATGGTTCCATCTACTCCCTTCCCCTCTTTGCACTTATCTACCCCCTTTTCAGTGAATTGTCCCCTGACTGGGGACAACTTAGTAGTAGCCCTTATGCAGGCCCCACAAATATGTGTGTGGGGGGGCACCTTATTCCTTCCCCCACCTTACCTGTCGCATATGGACTAGCCACAATCCACATACATAAGGAACATCTGCAAAGTCCTTTAAGATCCTCAGCTGGAAGGCGCTATATCCATGCAGAGTGTGTGTTTCATTGTGTGTGAACAAAAACATTTCATGTAGGGCTCGACTGTGAAACAACCACCTGACCTCGATCAGGGGCAGTGCATAGCTCGGGGTTTAGGCACGCAGCAGTAACCCTGTGCTGTGTGCCTGCTACTCCTTATACCCCAAGTGAGCATGCAGGAAGTGTGGAAGGAGTAAGCTTGCTCCAGTGTGGCAGAAATTTGTTACTGAGCCCAAGCAGTGACTGCCTAAATTCACACCGCACGTCAGTGGCAGAGCCAAAAATAGGACTCAAGTTACTTCCTCATCACTGTGCACATATTGTGCTGGCTCAGCTGCACTGCCCAGAGTATGGGAGGGATGAAGCCAAGGCTTTCCTTACTCCTTCCACACTTCCTGCATGCTCACTTGGGGTATAAGGAGTAGCAGGCGCACAGCACAGGGTTACTGCTGCGTGCCTAAACCCCGAGTTCAAGGAGGCCACATAGGAGCATGAGGGTGGGTCTCGGAATGAAAGTGACCTGAATTCATAAGCAAGGACATTGATGGAATTTTGATTTTTGTCAATTGACCAGGAAGTTGACGTCATCAAGTCGTGTCAGGAGAGGATGAAACGCCACCTGGATAAGGCGATAGCCCAGCTTGCGTAAGGAAGAGTTTCACCTCAACTTTTCTTAGTAGCATTATATTCTAATTTCTAATGTAAACACCTCAGCAAATCCCCTCCCCGCTCAAAAATACAGCTTAGGGGGAGAAATGTCTCGCACACTTAACAGTTGCTTTGCTCTTGTTTAAATTTGATCTAATTGTTGAACAAGTTGGTGTAGACCCAAAGGATATGATGCAGTGTTGTTTTTTTAATAAGAGTAGCTTCACTTAGAGAGATACTCCACCATGGGTAAGAAATATTTGCTGTGGACCTAGGGCAAGGTTTCCAAAAGAGCTCGTTCACCCAAAGTGCTGAGCTCTCTTGGCAATCTGGCCATTTGTTTTGGTGCGTAAATGGAAGCTGCACTCTTTAGACAATCTGGCCTGAAATGCCCTTCTAAAGGGATACATGAAACAGGCCAGGGATATTTTGGAGCTACCAGATCATTCCTTCATTTATTACATTCTGTTGCAGGAAGTATCATCATCTAATGACTAAAGAACTTTACTAGGAGTCAAGAGACTTGGTTCTTACTCCTTGCTCTACCATTGAGTTGCTATGTGATCTTATGCCTCATTTTCCTCATCGAAGATAGGGATAGCACTTATCTCGCTCACAGGGGTCTCGTGCAACTTGAATTGATCCATGTTTGTATGGTGCTTAGGGATGCACAGATGAAAGGTGCTATAAAAGTGGAAGGTGTCATTATATCCCCTTCTCACAGGCATGTTCTTCTTGTTTGGGTCATTCAGAAATAGTAAACTCTTCCCATTTCTTTTGAATTATATTTTTATGCTAAGTAAATACTAGCAATCTTGTGCTTGACGTCAGCTGGGCTTATGGGATAAGTAACGGTACCTCTGAACCGCTCTTCTGTTCCCCCCCCCCCCAGTTCTTGGGCTAGCTGGGAATTGAACTGGCCTCTGGTGTTAAGTACTTGTAGGGTTACTCCATGGATTTGTCCATTAGGGTCTGTTACATCAGCTCTGCCCCCTCATCATCTCTCGGACCCGCTAGAGCAGCTTTAAGTCTCCTTTGCCTTGTTGGAGTAGTGCAGAAGAGGACTGCCCAGAGCTGGAGATGTGGCCTGTTATGCTCATTATTATTTACTCTGCAATAATGGTTTTTCTCATGTTACAGATCCGACAGGGCAGCCCAGCACGAGCTGGAGAAAGACCTTAGTGATAAGCAAGCAGCTCACCGGATCGATGACAAGTGTCACCATCTAAGGAACACTTCTGATGGCATCAGTTACTACAGAGGAGTGGAGCGGGTTGATGCTACGTAAGTACATCTTGAGAATTATGTTCAAGCTGTATGGGACACAGGACTGGATAGAAACTACTGAGATGGTTCTTGCAGGAGAGGTACATAATAAATGCCATGCACCCAAGTACAATGGGTGAAACTACTGAGATGGTTCTCGCAGGAGAGGTCAGCTTTCCCTTTATTATGGGCTGCTACATGCCCTCCCCCAACCCACACAGACCACTGCCACGTGTCATTTTAGCGCACGTTTTAACAATCAGTGGAAACTGTACAGTCTCTTAAGTGTATAATGACTCTGAGTGCACTGTAACCAAAAGATTACAGTGTGGGCAGGATATAAGCCTTCCTGTATGATAAAGAAGGGAGATTGCGGGTTTGAGCACGGGAGAGGTAGAACGGAGGCAGGAGGCGGAAGAAGAAAGGAAGAGTAAAGTTCATGTAAAGCCTAATTCGAGACACTCAGGCTGAGATTTCCAAAGCTGCCTCAGTGATTTAGAAACTCAACTGACTAAAATTAATGAGATTGTGTCCAAATCCCTTGGGCGGCTTTGAAAAAAATCTCAGCCTTAATTTAAAGTGACATCATTGGGTTTAACATGCATATATTAGCTATTGGTCTGTGATGCAGTTGTTAAACTTCACATTTATTTTTATATATATTTTATATCTATATAAGTCAGAATTGATCTACAGCCCACTAAATCTGAATTGCAACCTTCACTTAGACAAAGACTGTTGGTTTTGATTGCTTCCTAAAGAAGACCTGGTAATGGGCATAATATAAACAAAAGGGGAACGAAGTGAAAGAAAGAGCATTGATCTTGAGATACAGTTCTGCTCTTCATTAGAGCAGTGAATGAATGAGGATATAAATCAGTACGTGGATGGTTGTACCGTAGCTGGCAGAAGGCTAAAGGAGTAAATTAATGTTCACTTGTACATGTGTACTTCGTGGGCTGGAATAGATTTTTTTTAATCTTTAAATGTCAATTAATTACCTCCCTACTGGGGCCAGAGGAATTTGGATGAGCAGCAGAATAACAACCAAAATGAATGAAGCCCAAAGCTGATCAAATTCACAGAAGGTGGATGAGATGTGCAGCAGGCTGGCATGTCTGAAATGGGGCTTACCTGGGATTTAAGGGTTGCATCGGCCTTGTTCTGGCCCTTTGCACAGGGATGGATTTCACTCTGAATAAATAGGAATGACTAGGAAGAACTACATGTACTATTTAGATACTTTTCAGGTATCTAAAAGGGTGTCATAAGGAGGAGGGAGAAAACTTGTTCACCTTAGCCTTTAAGGATAGAACAAGAAGCAATGGGCTTAAACTGCAGCAAGGGAGGTCTAGGTTGGACATTAGGAAAAAGTTCCTAACTGTCAGGGTGGTTAAACACTGGAATAAATTGCCTAGGGAGGTTGTGGAATCTCCATCTCTGGAGATATTTAAGAGTAGGTTAGATAAATGTCTATCAGGGATGGTCTAGACAGTATTTGGTCCTGCCATGCGGACAGGGGACTGGACTCGATGACCTCTCGAGGTCCCTTCCAGTCCTAGAATTATGAATCTATTTATTCAGTGAGAAGTTGCTATAAATCTTACCGGTTGGAGTGAGTTGATTGTAACTTGTGTCCCCTGGAGCTTGAACATACTCAAGCTGTTTAGAAATACACCTCTACCCCGATATAACGCGACCCGATATAACACGAATTCGGATATAACGCGGTAAAGCAGTGCTCCGGGGGGGGCGGGGCTGCGCGCTCCGGCGGATCAAAGCAAGTTCGATATAACACGGTTTCACCTATAACGCGGTAAGATTTTTTGGCTTCCGAGGACAGCGTTATATCGGGGTAGAGGTGTATGTGGTTTTATTAAAATCTTAAACATGATCCAAAAGTCACCATTTAAGACTATGTATGTGGAGCCTGCATAAAATGTCAGAGCTGTCTTCATGAATACGGCAGACTTTATATTTGTCTGAATGATGAAGATCAGCGTTACTGAATGAACTGTATCCGGATAGTCTAATTTTTATGCGGCAGAGTCAGGATCACCGATTCCAGCAAGGATAATTTTAATCCAACTTCCTCCCTAATAGAATATGCAGTTGCCTGTAGTCAGCCTTAGCTACATTATGCTATTGCATGCCTCTGGTTTTGTTTTCCCAGGATCTCTGTGCCAGAGTCCTGGGCCAAGTTTACAGATGATAATATTCTACGCTCCCAGAGCGAACGAGCTGCCTCCTCCAAACTGAGGGATGATATTGAAAACTTGCTGGTTGTGACTGCAAATGAGATGTGGAACCAGTTCAACAGAGTGAACGTCGCGTTCACTAATCGCATCTCTGAGACAGCGGATGCCAAAAATAAGATCCAGACACATCTGGCTAAGGTAATCATAGAACAGTAGGGCTGGAAGGGACTCTAAGAAGTCCTCTAAACCATCCCCTCTGTGTTGAGGGAGAATTAAGTAAACCTACACCATCCCTGACAGGTGTTAGTCTAACCTGTTCTTTAAAAACTCTTGATGACAGGGATTCCACAACCTCCCTAGTAACCTGTTCCAGTGCTTAACTACCTATATAGTCAGTGCTGTTTTCCTAATATCTAACCTAAATCTGAACTTTCTAGGTTTTCCTCAAGGTTGTTGCTTATAAATCGGAGCCACAGATTAGATTCTTTAACTTCACAATAGAGCTGGTCAAAAAATGGGTTGGGGGGGAATGTAAATGTATTTATTTGTTGCCATTTTGTTTTGGTTGAAATACTGCTTATACCAGGTGTGAAAAAGCAGAAGGGACCAAAATCTATTCTTGTGTGAAAATCTGTCAATAAGGCTACACAGGTGTAACTGTCAGCAGGAATTGGCCCGTGTTCTCATTCCCTTCTCAAATCACATTCCATGCTTACCCAACATTTTCCACTTGGGAAAGAAGTTAGTTTGAGTTGGGGCAGAAAAATGAGGACTAACTTCAGGTTTATTTAGCTTTAAGTTTTTGGAATGAAACTCAAAAGAAATCAAATGTGAGGTACTTTTATGATGGATTGAACTGTTAGAGAACCAGCAAATGGACAGAACCTGCCTTTAGCCTATTCAGCCAGTCTTTCTATCATAGCCTGCTAAGAAGTGGATTTAAAATCCTTGAGGGAGAGGGGAGGGAGAAACCTACAACATTGTGTGTTGAGCTTCTTCCAGTGCTTTTGCAGTCCCATAAAATTACAAAGATGTGTTGGCCTGTGGAACTAGGCTGAGCATAAGGAAAGAACTTGGTTGCCTGTGCATCCCAGTTCAATACAGTATTGAACACAGTGCATCATAAATCGGAAGCCCCTCGAAGGTACTGTAAAAGTTAAAGTACTGATATCCAGAATGGGATGTTTTGTTTTGTTTTTCCTACAAATGTGTGAGAATCCGTTCCTTATACAGACGCTACCTGGGTTATGCAAACCCGACTTATGGAAATCCGCACTTAAAGTTCCGTAAGCTGGGGGGTTTTTTTGCGTAATTGTCGGAGATACGTTCCCAACTTACGCAAAATTCGACTTACGCAAGGCGTTCCGTTCCGGAACGCCTTGCGTAAGTCGGGAAGCGTCTGTACATGGGAGGGGCAATAGTTCTGGCTGGACAATGCCAGCTCAAACTACACCCACATCCCGTGGTAACCAGATTTTTAGTGTCCTATCACCAGTGTTAACCGGATACCTTCTCTAAAGATAAGCCTTAAAAAAAAGATCCTCACCCTGTTGGCAGGAGTTCTACAGTTTTGTGTACACCTGATCTTGCTCCCATTCTGGCCATTAGCAGGGGAGCCAGTGACGTCAGCGGGATTGGAGAGAGCCCAATATCAATGCCACCTTTGTAAATATTATTCTCACGGCAAGCCATTTCCCTCTCTTTCTCCTTGCTTGTGAATATGGATCAAAATGTAAACCTGTCAGCCAGCTGTAGTGTAAAATACAGAGGTTGTATTGGGTATAATGTTGGCTGCTTGTTGAATTTAGGATCTCCTGCTAAGTGATGGAATTTTGAGGGGGCAAGAGAAAATACACAAATATATTCTCTAAATAGCAATGTTCATTTGTGTATGGGTTGGTTTTGTTTAATCTTAGACGCTACAAGAAATCTTCCAAACAGAGATGACGATAGCAGCCATTCGAAAAGCCATCAGAGACAAAGGGCCGCCATTAAAGGTGGCCCATACCCGCCTGGACGAGCGCACGCGGCGGCCAAACGTGGAGCTGTGCCGGGATTCCACCCAGTTACGGTAAGGCAGGAGTTCAGGTTTACTGCTATATTTAAGGCAACATGATTCCATGCAGTGGTTGTTACAAGCCACCAGCCATTCCACCGATGTTTCAGTGCTGTCAGAGCTCTGTAGCATTCACAGTTTTGCAAGATGACAAATAGAAGTTAATACAGCTCAATTTTTATGTTCTTACCCGAAACCTGACGTTACTAGTAAAGTCAATTGCAAGTGAGCTAATTTCCTAGGCTTTGTGTGGTGTAGTGCTAACCTCATGCAAACCTTTCACCTCCAAAGGAGAACATTAATGGTTTCCGTCCTTATAAGAGAGACACTAAAGAAGATTCTTGAGTGGCCATGTTGCTATTTTTAAGATGCAGAGCATCCTTAACTCCCATTGACTTCAGCACTAGCTGAAGGCACTCAGTACTTGACAGGATAGGGCCTTCAATACTCAGTATTTTAAGCGTGGAAGTGTTTTGGCTGTTTCTTTTTCAAAACTAAACCTCCTCTTGCAAAGGAGTCCAGTGCCCAGAAGAGAGCTGGGGAGGGCATCTAGGGTCTTCCTCCTTTTGGAGTCTGTCTCCAAAGGTGCTGCTGGGGCCTGATCTGTCCTTTCAGCAGGAGGTTTGGCTATTATTTCCTCCCTGGCCTGTCTCTTTTCATTGATATTCCAGTTAAAGCTTTTCGGCTTCCACAGCCCAGTTCCTAATAGCAACCTCAGATGAAATGCTGATCCCATTGAAGTCAATGGGAGTTTTGCCATTTCACTTCACTAGGCCCAGAATTTCACCCCCAGTCTTGATTCAGCGGTTTTATCAGATATCTGACACGGGCAGGACTGCACCCCCCTTGCAGCGGGGGCTCCCCAGACTGCATTGTATTCCATATAACTGTACTCCAGTGAGTGTCTGCTCTGGTCAGTTACCACAGGAGAGCTGAGTCCATCTTGAGTTCTGTGCACAAAAACACCCTTCCTCGGTCCATCTGTGCAAGGATCATGCACAGTCTGGTCCTTCATGTAATAGTGCTGCTTAGACTTAACCAAAGAGCCTCCCTAATGCCTGACAATGTGAGTTAGAGAAATGCTGTTATCTCTATTGTACAAATGTAAAACAGAGTCCCAGAGAAACTAAGTGACTTGTTCAAGTTCACATAGTAAGCCTGTGACAGAACAGGGAATATGTAAGCAGGGGAATGGTCCTGCTATTGTGGGGAACTTTCCTGGCTTCTGCACTACCCCGGTGAAATGGGCTAGCGAAAGGATCTGAGTCCTCGCTCCCACTTCCTTTACGCAGAGGCCTCCCTGCCCGAGGACTCCCCTTCCACTCTCCTGTCTGGCAGAGTCCTTGTAACCCCAACAAGGCTGGGCCCAGGATTCCTAGGGGGCTCAACCCCCAACCTTGCTGTGGTCACCTAGGACAGGGGCTAGGGTGTCCCCACTCCGGGGTGCTCTCTCTGCACTGGACACCTCCCTGACCCACTGATCATTACATACAATTTATTTAATCAGCAATTCATTTTAAAAAAGAATAAGGAAAAATGGGAAAGGTTAAAGGAAAACACATCACCCCGCTCTGTGGCAGGGAACATTACAAACAGTATCTCTGGAATGTCAGGCAGTTCACAGTCTGTTCCTTGTAGGTCTCAGGCCCTGGCTGTGCTGCAGGGATGCAGTGGGTTGGACACTTGCTCTGGTGGTGGCCACACACCTCCGGGCTTTGGGTGGTGGGACCCTTCTTCCCAGCATCAGCCCCCCGTCAGGTTAAGATCCCCCTCCCAGTCTGGCCTGCAAGGACCCTTGGCTGGGGGTGTCTTTCTGCACTGGGCCCTTTGCTCAGGATCCCCCCTTGGCTGGCCCCAGTTGCTTACCGCACCCGGCTCCAGACTGCTCCAGCTCCAGCCCCAGCTCCACTGTTCTAGCTCCGGCTCCACTATGCCTCAGCACTGATGCTGCTGCTCTGCCTCCAGCCCCCTGAACTGCTTCTCTGGCTCTGTGGCTGCAGCTTTGCTCCCAGCACAGGGTCTGCTCTCCCTGGGCACTGTGTCTCTGGCTCTGTGGCTGCAGCCCTGCTCCCAGCACAGGGTCTGCTTTTCTGGCCCTTCTGGATCTGGCAGGGCTCTGCTCCCCAGCTCAGCTCGGACCTCTGCTTTCTCCTTAGCTCGGCCCCACTCTGTCTGACCCAGGCAATTCCAGCTCACATGGAGCACGGGACTCCGGCCCCCGGCCTCCTGACTCCCTGATTAACCTGCCCGCTCTGTCAATCAGGCTGACCTGGAGCATTGGCCTCTCCCCATTGTTCCTGGGGACTGTCAGTCTCAGGGTCCTGATTTCCCATTGACCTTTCCCCTTTCTTTTGGCATGGGAATAAGCCAACCAAAACACCCCCACTCAGTTTTAATAAGGGGACAAGAGTCCCCTTACAAATAGAATGTGGGTCTCCCGAATCACAGACTAACTCCCTAAATGCTAGATCGTCCCAACCCATCACACCACCCACCTAATACATCACAACACAGCCGGTGTGCTGAGATAACTAACAATAGTGCATCTTTGCAGTGAGTCAATGTAAAGATCTGCAAGACAATTGTAAACTCTATTTAGTCATTGTATCTAAAATTATTTCACCTGACTATTCTGTTGGCATCCTGAATGTCTTTATTCATCCATCATTCATATTCTGCTCTTTAATTTTTAAATTCTGCTGTTTTTCACTCTTTACACTGTGTGTGCGCGTGCGCACGCGTGCAAGCAAGGAAAAACCCAGAAAAACAAAATGAGAACAGGAAACCACAGCTTTCCATCACTTTTCTAAACGGCACTGTCTGTTGCGTGAGTTGTTTCCATGTATCACTAGAGTTTGAGAGCAGTTTGTTTGTTAAAAAACCCCCACTGAAGGCAAAAGGATTTCTGCCATTGTCTTCAGTGGGATCCAGCCTTAAGTCAGAAACGTGCATGTAATACATTCAGAATGTAACCAAGATGGTATTTAATGGCACCAAAAGCCCTGTAAATAATGCCTTGCCAGGAACATGCCAAGTTATGGGACTATTTCCCTCTCAGAATCTACTAACTCTGTTTTTTTGTTGTTGTCTTCTAGCCTGGTTAATGAAGTCCATGAAATCGATGACACCATCCAGAACCTTCAGCAGAGGTTGAGGGACGCAGAGGACACCTTGCAGATGTTGGTCCACACCAAATCTAATCTGGAGCATGACCTGGCTGTCAAAGCCAACTCCCTGTTCATTGATCAGGAGAAGTGCATGGGGATGCGTAAGACCTTCCCCAACACTCTGAGGCTGGTGGGGTACGCATAGGCCAATATAGCCCTGAAGCAGCTCCTGCACTGATTAATGAAAGCACATATGGAGGGGGTTTCCTTGGTGGTACTACGGTGTTTTAATAATATGGGGTTATATTTTCATGTATTACAGGATGCACTAATAGGAATTAAATTATCACTTTCTGTGTGAGACTGTGTGTTGGGAGACTCCCCCCACCCCACCCCATTGGTGGCTCTACTTATTCATAGAATGTGCAGAGACTATCTGAAAGGGTGCTGTTTGACACTGAGAGAAATACCACTCCATAGTGGGAATTATTCCTGTCGTCTCAACCTGTAATTTTAGAAATCTAAAATTGCAGAGTCTCTCGCCTTTGTTTCTCGCTAGTGGGGAAAAAAAGCAGAAGTAAAACTAAAAATACTCGGCAATTAGAGTAATTAGGTGTTGATATTGATGATGTATTTTTAGGCATGCAGCAGGGTAAACAAAAATTATTGTGACAAGTTTCAGAGGGGTAGCCGTGTTAGTCTGTATCAGTAAAAACAATGAGGAGTCCTTATGGCACCTTAGAGACTAACAAATTTATCCCACAAAAGCTCATGCCCAAATAAATTTGTTAGTCTCTGAGGTGCCACAAGGACTCCTCGTTGTTTTTACAAATTATTGTGAATCCTAGGAGCCTTCCCAATGTGTACCATTCATCTACTCGAGTAAACAGACTTTACAAAACTATCTTCCCTGTCTAGAATTCTATATAATCCTGCTTACATAGGTGAGATATCCTCAAGCACCTATAATTAGGGTCACTAGGCTTTGCAGCTCTGAAGAGTGCTATCATATGCACAATAGTAGGCACTTTACGAGTGTAGGGTAACATTTTCAAAAGGTCCTAAGTGACTTAGGAGCCAATTTCCATTGACTTTCAATGAGACTTGGGATCCCAAGATTTTCAAAGGCATTTATGCATTTAAAGATGCTAAGAGGTGCCTAGTGAGATTTTCAAAAGCACCTAAGAATGTTAGGCACCAAACTCTCATTGAAATCAATTATTTAAATAGGTATTAAGCACTTATGTTCTTTCGACAATCCCAGTAGGCTCCTGTCTACCTCTTTTGAGGCCTAAATACCTTTAAAAATCTAACCCTATGTGCCTAAATCACTTTGAAAATTGTACTGAGGCTCCTAAATCACTTAGATGCTTTTGAAAATGTTTCCCAAGGTTCCTATCTGAAATAATGACATTATATTTGCTTTTAAGTCACCTGATAATGCATCAAGTTTTCCTTTAAACTGCCAAAAATAAAATAAAATTAAAATAAAAGCATTTCAATTAAAATCAGGAATCAGACAAAAAATATGGTCCAAATTCAGGCACAATGCCCATTGAAATCAACAGCCCGGATACACGTCCCATAGTGATGTAAATCTGGAGTGATTCCACGGACATCAACAGTTACACTGGTGTAAGCAAGAGAGGAGTCAGGTGAAATTGAGCAATGGGTGTGTGGGTTGGAGGGCTGGACTTGGCCTTGTGATATTTTATTGAATTTCTTATACTCTATTTTTTTAAAGAAAAATGTGAATTTCATTGGGGCTGATCCTGATCTTACTCCAGCTTTATATTTGGTGCAACTCTTTTCACTCCTGATTTACGCCAGTGTATAAAGTAAATCCACTCACATCTTTAGAACACAATCTTGTTCCCATTGAAGTCTCTGGAAGAATTCTCGTGGACTTTAATGGGATACATCTGGGCCCATTGTTCCAGTTTGCAATTGAGTATCTCACCCTTATATGCTAGAGAAGAGCAGAAGAATTGGCAGAGTCTGAAATAAGGCACAAAAGGAAATATTCAAATTTTAAACCTCAGAAGATCTTGTAACCTTCCTCCGCTGTCAAGAACAAAACAATGAAGTGCATAGTTTCATAAAGGTCTGAGCCAGATAAAGGTTTCATCTGCCAGATGCAATGAAATACAAAGACAATAGAGTCTTGCTAACCAGCACACACTAAAACTTGTACAGAAAAGGCAGTACTCTCACGCTTCTCTGCAAAGCTTTAATAGTGAGTGCTGTAGTAAGGTCTCCCAGTACTTATCCTTCAGCATCGTACTTTTACTAAGTGTACTACGGAAGATTTGCTGGTGTACTTTGGAGCTTTATCACACTTGATTAAAATTCAACACATCAAATAAAGGAGCAAAACGCATTGGCCTGCTAAACCCAGAGTTGTGAGTTCAATCCTTGAGGGGGCCATTTAGGGATCTGGGGCAAAAATCTGTCTGGGGATTGGTCCTGCTTTGAGCAGGGGGTTGGATTAGATGACCTCCTGAGATCCCTTCCAACCCTGGTATTCTATGAAAACGCTTTAGGTGATGCATTTATTGCTTGCATACCTGCTAATTTACAAGATTCACTAACTTGCAGTGAACATCCTGGTTATTAGTGGGGGTGAGCAAGGTTTGTATGGATGGCTTTCTTTACAGCACCTTATCATTAGACATGGAGTATTTATCAGTTCCTCATTACCATATTATCTGGCACCTCACAATCTTTTATGTGTCTATCCTCCAAACATCCTGGTGTGGCAGGGAAGTGCCATTATCCCTACGGTACAGATGGGAAACTTAGGCACAGATCCTCAAAGGTATTTGGGCACCTAACCTTGAAAGTAATGGGAGTTAGGAGCCTCAACACCTTTGGGAATCTGGGCCTAAGTAACATGCCCAAGGAGGTCATCCAGGGAGTCTGGAGCAGAGCAGGGAATTAAACCCAGATCTCTGAAGTCCTAGGCTAGTGCCTGAACCATGGGATGCAGTGCTATATGTGTCACTTAATGGTAGCTTCATAAGGTATTTTATTCACTTTAACCACGTGACCCTGATGAACTATCAGAACAGAGCTAAGTGCTATCAAAGCATTTTTATGCTTACTATTAAGACTATCACGAGAAACTGAGCATGAACAGAAAATCACCCCATCTCATTCTATTTATTCAACCTGTTCAAGTTACTGTGGACACGTCTTCCCATGCAATGGCTTGTGGATGCCTTCCTATGGCTCATTGCTTCTGTTGTCATTGCCTACCTCTGTAATGCAATTCATTTTTGAAAGCTCGGGGTTATTAATTTGGGGCGGATTTTCAAAGAAGACGAAAGCAGTTAGGCACCCAAATCTCACTGAAATCCAGTGGGAGTTGTGTGTCTAAGTCACTTAGATTGCTTTGAAAATTCTGACTTCAAAATTCTGCTCTTCTCCCAATCAGAGTTTCTGGCTCTGCGTGAGGGCATCTTTGGAGGGGGACATTCTGTGCTAACGTCCTCCAGTGGTTTCCTTCTCAGTGGCAACAGCACAGATAAACCCAGACTGTGCTACCAATGTTTGTGGTTCTCTAGACCAGTGTTTCTCAATGACCAGTCCATGAGATCTCCTTGACACAGTTTAGGAAGGCAGCAAGCCGGTCCCTGGTATCAAAAAGTTAAGAAACACTGCTCTAGACTATGGAGATAGTTTGTAGCTTGTGAGCCCCCCACTGTTCCCCGAGCAGGGTCCCAGAGCTCAAATCTGTGGCAGGCTCCCATCCCATAACCTCTGCATCTTGGCAGGTTCTCCCTTCATAACAGAATACAGGAAGTAATTGTTCTTGATGACCTTTTGCACCAGGACTTTGGTGTCATGCAGACTAAAAATAGGATTCCTCTCCTTTATTTGTAACTTGGAGCTTCAGGGCTGAGTCTGTTGGAGACAGCAGCTTCCTTTTAAGAACATGGCATCTTAGGAACCAGAAGAGGCTGTCTAGCCTAAGATGCCTGCCCTTTCTCGGTTTATTGTACTCCCACCTTCTTGCTGTGTCACCAGACGCCTGACTCCCCTCCTGATCCAGAAATAAATCTGTGGCTGACCTCATTTAGACTTTTAGCTTCCATGAACTCCCCTGGTTACCAGTTATGTGCTGTGTCCATATGTTCCTTTGTAGTAAGTTGTTCTGCCAGCATTTCCTTACCTCAGACTTTCCAAAGTGTCTAGTGATTTTTGCTATCCTGATCCGTAGGTGCCCAACTCAAGACATTATATTGGAGCCTGATATTCTGAAAGTACTGAGTGTCTTCTCCTGAGAATCAGGCCCCTCCCTCTAAGGTGTCTTAAACCGGGCACCCAAAAATAGAGGCAACCTGTAGCCACATTTGAAAATTTTAGCAGGGCTGTCCTTAGGATTTATGGGGCCCTATGCAGTATTATTAAACTGGTGCCCCTATGCCCGATGGCAGCCTGGGCTCACATGTGTATAAGGGTGGTCTTTTGAAGGATTTATTTAAAAAACTATATGTCTGAAGATCCAAGCATTTAAGGCTAAAGATGAATACTCAGGTTGTGAATCTAAAAATCTATGCAAGGGTTTTTAGAGATGTGATTTTATAATCTTCAGTAACACACTAATGAAATATTTTTAAAGCAATTTTTAAATGAAGGTCCTGTAGACTAACATATTCTGGGTAAATATCACAGTAATGCACAACTGTTTTTGTCAGTAAATTCAGAAACTGACAGTGTATACCTGGGGGTTGGCAAATGCCTGTTAAATGGCTTCATTACCACTTGAATGGCTCTTTAACAATTTTAATGTTGTGCTAATAGGGCTGGCAGGCTGGAAGGTTTTTTCACTTTTAAGTACTAGATCCCCTTCCGAGGAAGACTCACCAGGCTGCAGCAGCCAGCTGTGGTGGGAGCCTGCAGGAAGGGTCAGAACAGGGATAGGAAGAGGCAGGAGGGTGGACACTAAGACCCAGTGGTGCCCCAAATTTTCAGGTGCCCTATGCAGCTGCGTATGCCTAAGGATGGCCCTGAATTTTAGCACGTATTCCTAAATTCCTTGGGCAAAGTCCTGACCCCAATGAGGTCAGAGGGAGTTTTGCCCCCCCCACACACCCCTCCCCACACCCATCAGCTTTATCAGTCTTTCAGATTTTGTTCTGTTACATCATCTCAAAGATTGGTCTTTTCCAATTAGCCAAAAGCCTTTAAACTCTTCCTGTAATTTATGAGATTTTAAATGCAGTGTCACAGTTAACTGGCCGTAAATGT